AGGACACAAAGCATCCCAAAAGCAAAAATGTTAGGTATACCAAACAGGTATACACGAAAATCAATCACTTAGCTCGTAGGAAATCGCAGCAGCGAACAAAGCAAAATAGTGGGACACTATCGAATAGACATTGTCTTTGAATACGGAGAAAATAAGGTTATGCGAAAAAACCACTGAGCTGGGACCCATTTTATTTGCCGAAAAGGGTTCAGTGGCGCGAGCTGCTTGTTCCACATAACAGTAAGCCGCTGAACAAACATGCTATTTGAGGTTACGATCCTTGTGTGTAAAAGGTGGGCAACATGTGGAAACATACTCAAAGTAGAAAAGCTGAAGTTCCGAGCGGCCTCAAACCCAAAACATTGTTAAAATGAACTATTGCAAACATGGAACCGACGAAATACAGTGTACCACGATGTTATAAACCGCAAGCAGAAGTCAGATATAGAGGCTGGGGTTCGTGGGTTTTGAGAAAAAAATGAGTTCGTATGTTACAATATTACGTCCTTTAATCCAGTGTGATCTTACAATTTTGGTGTTGGCTTTGTCTTTGTTAAGTGTGCTACCCGGATACGGATTTGTTTGAAGACCTTGGTTCTCAATGTCGTCCGACAAGGTCAGCCGTGTTGAGTACGTATGCTTTCCAGACTCCACGTACAGAGGTGAGGAATAAAAGATCGCGTTCAGCGGCAGCATACTTTTGGTCAGTGATCCTACGTGATATTCTTGTTCAGTGTATCCTTTCACCCTCCATTTCAATTGTCGAGTTTGTTTTGAAAATTAAATTTTGTAAATAAAACCCTTCACTCCAAGCGATTCCACAATAACTTCCGTACAATCTTTCGTCTTGTGTTTGAAGGTCTGAGACCCTTCCTAATAGTATGATATCATAAGACTCCTGCGGTTCATTGAAATACTGCTGTCAAATTCTTCTACCTTGGCAGTGACTCATTCCCATGGGTGCGATATTTTCTTTCCTAAGCACAACCCATCTTTATCTTACATGACTGCGTTTAGATGTTACCTTCACTGTACTGTGGATTGCCTTCTGCAAATGTGCTATTTGCTACAGAGGTATCCAACTATCTCTCAGTTTGTGGAAATTTGTACGATCTTCATGACTCTTGTCTAAACTGTCATCTGTGTGTGGCCATTTAAGTGTCAGTTAGTGAAGGCTTTTAAAGAAGCCAGTTTTCCGCCTGTACTTCCACCGGCAAATCAATCGCATGACTGCGGTTCGTTCTCTTTGATGCTGAGTGGTTTATCGTTTGAGTAACGACAAAATAAAAGAACCCTTTAATAATCATGCATGCAAGTGTACGTGCAAATTCTCTACTAGTCTGTGCACTCAAAATCAGTGCTTTGTTTTGGAGGAATAGTCCCGATTACCGGGCTCTAGTCCGCTTCAAAGATATCCACCCGTAGTTCGACCTCTATTTGTGACGGACTTTTGCAATCAAACCGCACAGCTCAGAGAAAAAAAGACAACCCGTTACGACAGCTGAAACACCAACATTTCGTTCTGTGACACTGCTGAGTAAGACGTTTCAAAAAATGGGCATGCAGTAACTCGACATCAGATGTTCTTGTGGCAAAATGGAACGGACGCCTTGCCCACCGTGATATTTACCACTGAGCGATGACATTTAGCTTATAAAAATCTGCCTCTCTGTAGCGCAGACAAAACTAACTAGGTTCTTTTCACAATAAACCATTAGTTTCTTGTGAAAGATATACTAAGTGAAGCGCATATCCCTCAAAAACCTCGCGGTTCAATACAGTCGGGACGGCCTACTGCCTGCGTGGCCAAGAAATTACAAATGCAACAGCCACTGAGATGTCCACATGGTCACCGAGATCCCTAGAAATTGACAGAACATATATTATTCACATGCGACCCATTCGATGCGCGCTTCGTTCAACGTAAACTTTGAATGTGCTACACTCATTTACATAAAGCGAAGCAAACAAGAACTGTTTGCCTGTATGGGGGAGTCGAGTTTGGGTGTCCTCACAGTCACCTTGGAAAATCAGATGTTGTCACTAAGTCGGTTCACATTTTCCGTATAAATGATCCAAGATTTTCAAGGGAAATCCTAACATCACACAGGATGAAGTTGTTTAACTTACTCATGTGCTGTGCAATTGTAAACATGTTTGGCATCACAAATGCAGTACAATTCAGAGATTGCGGTAAGTATTTATGGCATACGCCCAATAAAACTTCTGTGGTGGTTGTCGAGCAAACCACAATTTTTCATACGTTTCCGAATGTCTATGAGATTTTTGGCATTTTAGCACTAGTGAGGTAAATCCCATTTGAATATTCGCATTGTTTCCGGTTCATGCTCTGGGATAAAACTTTCGTTCGCGTATGTTGATAAATCTGACTAATATTTGGTGTTTGGCTTTATGTGCGGGAAAATTATTTTCACATAGAACGCTTTCAGATGTTATGTTTTACACTTGTGTGTTTGACAATTACACAGCACGTATTGTCGTAATCTGGTGTCCACGTGGAACGTTGAACGGACCTCTGAGCATCTTTCCTGAGGATTAACACAACCTCTTGGAACACTAACACTTAACACTACCTTCATTGGAATTTTTCGGGTTATATCCGGGAGAGAGTTGACGTATTGAAAGCAACAGCTTGGATGCACGAGCTGATTAACTGATACATGTTTGATATTGTGGGTATCAAAAGTCGGGGCAATCGTCCACGGAGAAAGAAATTATCAGTTGAGACTGCCGGCTATGAACTTTGTGGTAAGATGCAGGGAATTACGTTAATTCGTTCGCTCGTTTCCGCTCTGCACATGGTTATGCAGCAGAATTCTATAAGCACCTAGGTCGACTAGATTATGGATGAAATTTCAGTATTTGAGCACGAAATCGTGTTGCCAAAAATTACTTCATAATCCGGCAGCCAAACGGTGATGCTTGCCGTAAAATGACCATTTTACGCTTGTTAAACTTACCAGAAACTCGGTTGCTGAATATCCCAACGTTTTGCCAAATGATGGGCTCCAAAGTCAACTCAGGCAGCCAGGAGTTTGGTGATAGCAGAGACTACAGATTCACTATATGTCAAATAAATCCGTGCATGGTGTATTGGTTTAATTAGTCATCCCTTATCGGTGAGGTTTGAAGTATTGACGTTAGTTGTTTGCATTCAAATAACGTTCAACCCGGATATTCTCCCGAAGATTTACCTATAAATCGGCTGCACTCAGCGTTATCTTCCCAATTCTTATTGAGTATTGTATTGATTGGTTGGATCCTTCACATGAGAAAAACGTAGCTGATATTCGTGGGTGTTTTTGTTCCATCTGATTTCTCAAACATCACAGGTTCATCCAAAGCTGGAGTGACGGCTGTGGCCGTATATCCATGTAACTCCGAACCATGTACCCTCACCAAGGGGCAGCAATCATCCCTCGTCATTTCATTCGTCCCATGTGAGTTGACAAACAGGACAACTATCGTTTTATTTTAACGCTTATTTTGCACTTTTTGGAAGGCAGTTTGAAAATTCGGTTGATTTATTACAGCACTACATACATGGATTAACCGGAGCACATATCACCGAATAGTGAATCAACCTGAGGGTGATTTGTTACTTGCTAGAAATGAGGAAGCTCGTACATCTGAACTAAAGAGAGACTAGAATTTTCCGATGGTTTTTACTGGTGCCTCACCAAAACACCACCTTTCGTGCAAACAAAAATCGAGCAACCTAGATTCATAAAAATTGTTTTAATATCAACACAAGATAGCCACCTCAGACCAATTGAAGTTATTCAACGCCTATTAATGATTATTTCTTGAGTGCTGACTATAATTTTGCATTGCTTACTTTGATATACAGATCAAACCATCTATGCGGGTAAAGTGAAGGTTCAAGCTGGCTTACCATACGGATTAGTGACGTTACCAATACCGGACAACAGTGTGTGTACCCACCTGACCCCAGGATGTCCCGTGATGCCACGAAAGCAATACTCCTATACGTATACTGGCATGTTGCCTCCGCAAATTCCATCAGTAAGTTATCAGACAAATGAACTACTTCGACCACCTTAAGAATTAAGAATACATTTTACATAAACGGATTACATAAGAAAACGTAGGTGGTTTCAAACACAAACGAAAGTAGTGCATGTTCTATGTTGCAGATGGACCATTGAGGAATACGTGCGGATGCGTAAATGACAAAGTTTCATGTGACAGTTTCCTGCTCCTGACAGAATCGCAATACCTTGTGTTAGAGTGGGGGTTAGGCTGCAGTATTCAGTGCTCAGTCACAAAGTACACTGGAGCGGATGCCTAGAACCTATTTTGTGCAACTGCTTGATGACTCCGCATCCAAAGGATGCGCAGAAGAATCTTAAGCTGGCAGGACAAACCATGATCCTATATTGCGCGAGTGCAGTTCACATTATTCGGCAAAATGCACGGAACAAATCTAATAAACCAAACGTCTACGGGGCTACGTGTTCTGTTCATTCTCACATTCAGAATCGTCCCGCAGTCATTTCATGCAGCAAATCCACTCACACTCCAAAAATGGATCCTAGTTGCGACAAGGTTTTGTACAACAGTCTCCTTGCTTGCATCGATATTCGTATGTTATACAAACTATCTGCCTTGTAGGGTGAATGGACTATCAAGGTTGAACTGCAGGACACCAACGCGGCCCCATTCGTTTGCGTCGAAATGCGTGTGCGGATCTTGTAGACTGCGTGGTTGGAATCGAATACGAAACTCTGCTATTTCGCAAGGGATACCATAAATCACCCTCATCGCTGTTTGGCCTTTTCACTTATTCTTGGGAGCAAATACAATGAATAATAATACTAGTAGATGTTACCCAAGACATTTCATCCAGGCGTTAATAAATTTATTGCAGCCCTTAATGGATTTTTGCCTAGAAGGCTGGCAAGCTCGAAACCGATCTTGTGTGAGTATGTGTTAGTAGGTTTAGGAATTCTTTGCAAGGTATGATGACGCTCGTTGATTTTAGACCAATCTTCGCTGTGATTAAAAACCGTCCACATTTTGAATGTCCTCGTATAAAAAAGTACGGACAAGTGACTGAGAAAAAGGGATCGATTGAGATTCTTAAATCGGAGTGGGGGTTTGCGAGTCATCACGACAGACCAGTTACTGTATCTCTGCAAGGCGTTTCCATACACTGGTTCATCCAATTATATACGATTGCCCTGCAGCTGCATATTGCGTTCCAGAGGCGGGGCAATATGGTTCATTGATCTAAAGTATCGCAAGCTCTACCATGGTACCCGTCCCAAAAATATGTTATTGTTGTCCCGGTGGCAGTTTATGCTTCAGCAAGCCTAAATGTTAGAATGCGAATGCTTCGAATGAAATAAAGATCGCTAACTGTGCTTGATTTGGTAGCTACGATCATTTTCCTTATTAAAGTTTGTCTGGTTTTCGGAGGACCTCCAATATATACCAACCTTGCTTGCCAGTGGGGGGTGGGATAACTCATGAGAGTACTTTCGGCATGTACTGCGGCGTGGTTCATATACCCGTGAATCCAACAAAAGAAAGCGACCTGACTGCTGATCGCCAAATTCGGAACTGGTTTTGAACTGTCTTGTGTTAATCAGCGAACTTTTGTCCACACCGGTCGCTAGGTACCCGCAAGCTCACTAAAGCTATGAGGGGAAATAGTGACGACATCGAAAAAGTTCCCCACTGAGCTTGTGCTTACGTCGAAGGGCACGTGTCTACTGAGATATTTCTGAGTTTATATGAACAGGCTCCTCCGGAACTCCCAGCCTTCTGTTCCTCTGTGTACCTTGCGAATATGAACTAGTCGGAAAGCAAACTGTCATTTGCTTCTGAGAGACTATTGCATAAAGACCACGATTCTTATGCAACTGGCTGAAAGTATTTGAGTAGATTTAGAGTGTGGTAGTATTTTGGTTAAACGCTAGAAAACATAACTACTCTGTTGACTCTATTCCTACATTTCTTCGAATGGTTTACACAGTTCACATCCGTCAATTCGTAGTTGTTTTGGTGCATGATCATTTTTATGAGGTTTTCCCAGCCCAATTGATCCCTATGTGCCAGGCTTTCTTATGATTAGGAGATGTGTGGCTCTGGGGATTGTCTGCTGTGGGATATTATCGGATTGAGTCCATCAGATGCATTAGCTTAAAAACGTGTAATGTAGTGCCATCGATAGTGCTAGTTCTCTGTGCTACGGGACCAGTGGCACTTTTTTCCAATTTCAGTATATCTTTGTATCAACTTTTCGTTCAAAGTAAATCTTGTGCATCGTTTGTCGTAGTTCTTACAGTAAGCACTGGGCCTCATTCACTTCGATTGAGCTCTGTGCACTGAGTTTGTAAAATTGGAGGCCACAGTTTTTGTGCTCATACCGAGTGATTCATTAGGATGGATGTGCTCATAGACGCGGTGTAGGATAACTACATTTTGAAACATGCTTTTGTTAGTGCACACCGTGGGCTAGCATAAAAAACTTCTCTGCCAGAAAGCCAGCTTTTTACTGTTTCTAACCGCTGCTTGTGTCTCGGCGGATTTTTGAGTGATTGCAGTGGATTATTCAAGAAACGGAATAAGGTGCGCAAATTAGGCAATCTGAGTTACAAGAATGGTAATGCTACCTAATTCCAAAATCGTTACAACACAGTGGCTCAGAAAACGCCTGATAGGTGCTTTCAGGCCCACTCTCGTATGCTATTCAGGTGCAAGCAGGAAGATCCATTTCTTTACCACTTCCATGGTTTCGTTGGACGTGCTTTCTAGCTTACGCGTACCACTTTGACACGTAGTCGCACGCAGTCAGGATAGGCAAAATCAGGCATGACGATGTCATCCGCATTGTGCGTAGAACACATCGCCTCAACTATACAAAACAGCGAGAATTAACCGGAGGTTTGACGTGTTTGTATGATGGAGAACTCCAAAAGCTTCCGTACACAAAAGCAATCTTTCAATGACGTTTTCCCTCCACTCTTAGTTTCGTGATCGTTGAGGTAATGGGACGAACGAGGAAATGTTTTCTAAACCCCAGTATGTAAATATCTTCTGACGACAATCTGGAGTATGCAACTATCGTTCTTACCTTCGAAGAGGTGGAAAATAAGCAGATGTCTTTGGGTAAACTGACGAAAATCATCCCGTCCTTTGGTATACGCTTCGAACCCACAAAGCGTTAGGTTGTAATAATAGTGTTTATTTACAACTGGTTGACGGTATACCATCAGGAATGATCAAAAGGTTACAGCCAGAATAAAGTATGAGTTTGTTCTTTGTCGCCAATGATGGAAAAAGTAGTCTGTATGGTAAAGTCAGGAGAAGGAAATGATCATTTGCGGGAATGGTAGCAAACTGTGTATAGCAGTGCCTTGGCGTCATTGCGATGATATTCTTTGGTTTCTGGACAGCCATTTTACAGACGTCGTGTTTGAGGTGATTGGTCTGGGGTGTGCAGTTCTGTAATAAGCGGGGTATTTTTCGTTGGCCAAATGTAGAGGTGAAATAAAGCCCATATGAGAAGCAGGTATGTTTCTGGATCGGTTGTAGATCGCCACATGCGTAAATCACAAGCCATATCGAGTGAATAACAGGCACACAAGGTGTTTGACGCAAATATTACCGAAAGTGGCAGCTTGGAAAAACGAATGAATAGGGTGAGATCAGTAAAGCCTCATGAAATGGAGGAATCATCCTATGGGATGGGGCGTAATAATGGAGGGAAAACGACTTAAAGTTTGCCACAATTAGTGTGGCGACGACAAAAGATTAAATGAAATGGAATAAAAGTAGATTTGTGTCTAGTTGACTGGCGATCAAGCAGGGCTCGAGTTGTCCAAGATGTGATATTATACTTCCAAAGGTCTAGATCAAACGAGTGGGCACATGCAGAAATGTAGTATGTGTAGGGACATTACGTAGAAATTCCGAGTTGATTAAATAATTTAATCCGAATTTAATACATGAGTTAAACAGTACCGTAATCCAGGGCAGAAAGTGAATGTAACAGAAATGACTACAAGTCCCCAGAACACTGCTTTTGGACATGCAGCCATTGAACGCGCTAATTACACTCCGAATAGAGGTATACGGATTTGTACAGCGCTTTACATATGTTGGATGTTGTAATAGTTTTGATTGTGGTGCGACAGATGAGGTCTGTTCACGAATTTACAAGGCCCGGGTCGCTTTCACTTATCTAAAACATCCATGGCGTCCAAGCGGAATATCAGGATATATAACCAAATGCTGAAAATCGTGAACGCATACACGTTGGCTGGTCGGCTCCCGGGAATGAAGATCCTGTTAGTGAACCTACTGCAGCGACTGAATACGGAAAGACCACACGTCGATTTCTATTCGGGAAGCTGAAGTTGAGTAGGTTGGGACTTATTTCCATAAATGAGCAAACGTAATAGCGAATGCCCGCTTACTCAATAAGTGTTCGCTACGGTTGCATCCATGGGTGCACGCATGAGGATTCATGCGGTCCTGATATCCTAGAGCTTAAGTGCATACCGCTTGCACTTGCGACTGAATAGTATGCAGCCCTATTTGGCTTTAACTTCGCTGCGTCCAACAATTCATATCTTGCCCTAATCTTGTCACCAATTGATCGATGTACACTCACCTCTCCCACCATCGCCAATGGGACCAATTAAGCAACAAGTGCATTTAGATTTATAACACTAAGGCTCCAGATTCAGCGTAGATACCGATCACGAGTTGTGGACAGCGGGCTTTATTAAGCATCTCTCGATTTAACCACTACAGCGTTATTCAGATGTGTGTTGTAAATACGGGTGTATACGGGTGGTAATCGGTTATACATTTTCCCCTTCAGAAACCTTGTCGAGTAAAAGCGGCTTCCTGAATCTGCGAACTGGACTGACTACCCAGTACGATGGAAACGACAAATGGACGCATGATTGGCCGAGGCTAGTTGTGTGTACTTCAGAAATGGACTTGGCGGACGGGCGACGTATATGGATATAAAGAACCCCCTATGGCCA